GGGAGAAGAAGGGGAGGATGGGGGAGAAGAAGGGGAGGATGGGGGAGAAGAAGGGGAGGATGGGGGAGAAGAAGGGGAGGATGGGGGAGAAGAAGGGGAGGATGGGGGAGAAGAAGGGGAGTTGGATAGCACGGAAAAGAAGGGTAGGCTGCCACCTCTTGTGGCAGTGCGAGTGTTATTTGCTCCGGAACCAGCTGACTTTCTGCCTTTCTGCATTAGCAAGCGCTGCCTCATTGCACCGCACTGCAATGCGCTGTTCCATTCCACGTTCCTTGTGTCCCCTCTACTGCAGATAGGGAACAACTTTCTCACCCTCTTTGCTATACAGCCTGTCAGCAAGGCTTGGGGCTTCAAGCTTGGCTTGGATCATGGATCCTTTGGCATCTGCCTTCAGCATTTGCATTCAGCCATGGGCTTGAAATTTGAGAACTGGTAGCTGGGAATTGGGTCTTGGGCTTTTAAGGTTTGTGAGCACTCATGATTTCCCGTGTGCTCCTCTCTTCCCTGCACGCACATTCCTCTCCCTGCACCCCCATCCCCACACCGCACCTCGCAGGATGCGTCCGCTCCTGGCCAACCAATCGCTGCGCCCCACGTCAGCTGACATAGGTGCCACGACACGCTATCTGCGCATGCTGCTGGCTGTGCGCTACTCCTCGCCGCTCTTCCGCCTGCCCTCTCTGGAGCTCGTTCAGGTGCGTAGGGAGAGAGTGCCAGGTCAGGTCGGGTGACCAGAAGCCCTTGTTTTCCAGTCAACGCACAAGGACGGACCACCAGACACTTCTCACGGGTGGGATGAGGTAATCCGCTCTCATGGGTTTGTTGTTGAAAGGACCGTCACATGTCAGTCGGAGCACACCCTCTGCTTTGCACAGCAATGATGATGCACGGCCAATTATTTCTCCACCGCGCCACCTGCCTCACGCTTTGCCTGTGTCGCCCACCTCTTGTCGTTTCTCACCCGAGCTCTCACCCCTCCCAAACCCCCCACCTCCCCACTCCTCCCCTGCCTTCCCCTGCCCCTGCTTTCCCCTGCCCGTGCTTTCCCCTGTCCGTGCTTTCCCCTGCCCCTGCTTTCCCCTGCCTCTGCTTTCCCCTGCCCCACTCCCCCTCTGCACTCCCACAGGAGCGAGTGCGATTCCTCAACGTGGGCCCCACAGCGCTGCCAGGCGTGATAGTAATGAGTGTGACTGATGGCGATGCTGGCTCAGGCATGGCCCAGCTGGACTCCAGGTGAGCTCGCCCCTGTTCACCAGTGCTTCTGAGTTGACTCAGGAGTCACCTCGAATCAGAAAAATCTTAGGCTCAATAATTCTAACAGTTATCTTAGTACCATTCTTTGGTGATGGATATATAGTTAATGTTTGTTAAAATTTAGTCTTCATGATTCTACTATTGCCGGTAGCTTGGTAATGGTCGGCCATAACACAGCTGGACTCCAGGTGAGTTCGCCCTGCTCACCAGCACGCCTGCAGCTCTACCACCGGTACACCTCACTGCCCTGTAGGGTGATCTCAGCGGAAGCCAAGGTGAGCCCAAGGTTAGACACGACAGGGCGCACGGCTGAGCAGAGCAGAGCAGAGCAGGAGCGGGAGCGGGAGCGGGAGCGGGAGCGGGAGCGGGAGCGGGAGCCGGAGCCGGAGCTGGAGCGGGAGCGGAGCGGAGCGGAGCGGAGCGGAGCAGAGCAGAATGTGGAAAGCTCAAATCCGTTCCCACCACCACCTTCCCCGAGAAACATGTTTGCTTGTCCTTCGTGATACCTCTATTTCCCCATGGCAAATTCATTCACTTATGACCTAGAACATGTACCTTCACGCCATGGCAGGTTCCGAATGCTGCTGCTGGTGGTGAGCATGCAGCCCCAGCTTGCCCACCTGCACCTGCCGTCCCTACTCTCCCGCAACCTTGTCCCGCACCCACTGCAGGTCAGCGCCTTCCCCTCTGCCCCCCCGCCTCTCATCCGCCTACCCCACAACCGCCCTCCCACATCTCGACCACTCTCTCCCGTGCCCCCCTCTCACGTCTCCTGTGTCTGTGATCCTGTCTTTTCCCCATAATCACCTTCCCATTCCAATCTCAATCTTTTCCTTCCCTGCACCCGTCTGCACCCCTCTGCACCGCGCTCAGGAGCAGCATGGCATGGTACCAGCAGTGCCAGGAGCAGACCCGTGGTTCCAAGCAGACACAGCTATGCTGACTGTGCCACCACTGGCAGCCCTCGCCCTGGTGGAGCTCAGGGAGTGAACCCCTCTTTGAGTCGGCTCAGCATGGCATGGTTCCATCACAAGCAGCAGCAGCAGGCCCATGGTTCCAAGCAGACACAGCTATGCTGACTGTGCCACCACTGGCAGCCCTCGCCCTGGTGGAGCTCAGGGAGTGAACCCCTCTTTGAGTCGGCTCAGCATGGCATGGTTCCATCACAAGCAGCAGCAGCAGGCCCATGGTTCCAAGCAGACACGGCCATGCTGACTGTGCCACCACTGGCAGCCCTCGCCCTGGTGGAGCTCAGGGAGTGAACCCCTCTTTGAGCCGGCTCAGCATGGCATGGTTCCATCACAAGCAGCAGCAGCAGGCCCATGGTTCCAAGCAGACACGGCCATGCTGACTGTGCCACCACTGGCAGCCCTCGCCCTGGTGGAGCTCAGGGAGTGAACCCCCTGTGCTGTGCTGTGCTGTGCCCTCTTCCTGAGAATGGCATGCACACACACACACACACACACTCACACACACACACACACACACACACACACACCTCACACACACACACACACACACCACACACACACACACACACACACAACACACACACACACACACACACACACACCACACACACACACACACACACACAACACACACACACACACACACACACCACACACACACCACACACACACACACACACACACACACACACACACACACAGAGGCACGCACACCTACATACATGCTCGCTTGTAAAACATTCATTATACGCCTCATTTTGTTACACGATACTTATTTTTTATTGTATAGGTTCTGTTCAGATACACAAACTTAGTGGAACGTGAGGAAACACCTTCATACCTAGGAGCTGTACTTAATGACAGAAAAGATTGTTTAAAGCCAGCAACTAAAATAGTGAACCCTGGGCCAGCTTGAAAAGTGTGTTGCGATAAGAATTTTTTAAGCGAAGCGAGAATGAAACAAGTCTGACAATGTGGGCAGAGTGAACTACGGTAATGTGATTGGCTTTCGCCAATCTGGGGATGTTTTGGCGCCCGCCAAAATGAACGTTCACGCTATGTCAGACGTCGCATGTCTGCCTACTGCACCCGCACGACCATTCTCTGACGATGGTCTTCGTCGCCAAGCCCAACTCCATTTCCAAGCTGGTCCTGGGTTCATATCTGACTTCCATTCCCATATCTGGTCATTGGTGTTTTCCATGGTGTTGCTGAGAGCCTAGGCGTTTCTGACATGGGGCACGGATTATCGACGAGGTCGATAATTATCAACTTAGCATGAGTGTGTGATATAATAATACGTGGCATAATAGCGCTATGTTGTTTTTCCCGCCTCGCGCAATTGTCAACGTCTTCGTCACCATGGCCTCACCCGCCTTGTCTCCCGTGTCATCGCCCACCTTGTCGCTAACGCGCGCCCCCCAAAGCGACCTCCCGTCGCCCTTCCTATCTCCTTTCCGATTCCCCACCTCGTCGCCCTCGCGCTCGACCCGAATGGCCATCGCGTCCCTCCTAGTCCGCCAGGGCGCAAGCCCCAACCAGCTGGGTCGCGCACACGCGCGTTAGTTAGAAGCAAGCACGCGCGTGAATGCAGCCACTCACGCACACATAGGCAGCGCGCGAGCAGCTACAGCTACGCACGCAGCAGCAGCGCCCGCTGCGATCCGTCCCGCTCGCGACAGCAGCCACGCACGCACAGATGCAGCAGAGCACACGCAGCAGGAACCACGATTGCAACTGTAACCGCGCACGCAACAGCAACCGCGCATGCAACAGCAACCGCGCACGCAGCTGTCAGAATATTATGCTCTAGCCTGTAGTAAGGTGCTCTATAGCGAGTACAACCCTTCTAGGGTTTGCTATTTGTATCCCCATTCTTTCTAGTGCAACCCCTCTCCTTCTTTCACCTAAACTATCGTTTGCCTAGCTAGGGCTTTCCTAGCTTAGGCTCCTAAGACTACCTCCTGTTTTCACATGGTATCAGAGCTACATGCTCCTGGCCTGTGGGCCCCACTTCACTGCTTCCGCTGCTACTGCTACTCCCTGTCCGCCGCGCGCCCCGTGGTGCGCGGCGTTGACTTAGGGTTTTCAGCCCGCCGTGCGCCCCGAGGCGCGCGGCGGTTCTCTGCCCGCCGTGCGCCCCGAGGCGCGCGGCGGGTTTCTGCCCCGTCACTCGGCGCGTCGCCCCCGGGAGGCGCTGCGACGGGCGACGGGGACCCGCGCGTCGCCCCCCGTCGCCCGTCGTGGCCTGCGCGCGGCCCGTACAGCCGGCGCGCGGCCCGTACGGGCTGCGCCAGGCCCGCGCGCGGCCCGTACGGGAAGCGCCAGGCCCGCGCGCGGCTCGGGCCGCCTGCGCGCGGTTCGGGCGGCTATGCCAGGCCCGTGGGCGGCCCGTTCCTCGCTGCCCCTGCCCTCCCCACTGTCCCCCGTGCTTCTACTGGCGCCCCACCCCTCCTACAGCCCGTTCTCCTGAATTAGGGTTTGGGGGTGAGGGGTATGGGGGTGAAGCCACTGAGTGCCGTTCCCTGTTCCTCCTCCTCCTCCGTCTCCCTGTGCTGCAGCTGCCGCTGAGGGGGGTGGACTTGTTGGAGCCGTTGGAGTGGTACTAAGGGGGGGTGAAGGGGGAGTGGAGCTAGCGGTGTAGCAGCGGGTGTGTGTCAGGGGGAGTGGGATAGTTTGGGGAGGTTGAAGGGGGTGGCCGCCGTGAAGCCAGCAGCTCCAGTCGCCCGTGAGACCGTTGCGCCAGTCGCCCGTGAGCCCGTTGCGCCAGTCGCCCGTGAGCCCGTTGCTCCAGTCGCCCGTGAGTCCGTTGCTCGTCTGCCGCTACTTTTAGCCGCGGAGCCAGTTACTCCAGTAGCCCGTGTGCCAGTTGCTCCAGTTGCCAGTGTGCCAGTTGCTCCAGTTGCCCGTGTGCCAGTTGCTCCAGTTGCGCCGTGTGCCAGCAGCTTCAGCTGCCGCCCACTACCTCCTCTCCTCTCATAGTCTCTTTCCTCCTCCTCACTTGCCCGTTGTGACTACCACTAGCTTTGCTCATAATTGTGAACTTTAAACTATTGCTTCTTGAACTTGTGCTCAGAATGTGTGGTGACATTGTGATCCACCTTGAGCTTGTACTGCTTTGCTTGCTCTGCTGATTACACCCCACTTTGGCTATGGGGGTGTGTCAGAATATTATGCTCTAGCCTGTAGTGGGGTGCTCTATAGCGAGTACAACCCTTCTAGGGTTTGCTATTTGTATCCCCATTCTTTCTAGTGCAACCCCTCTCCTTCTTTCACCTAAACTATCGTTTGCCTAGCTAGGGCTTTCCTAGCTTAGGCTCCTAAGACTACCTCCTGTTCTCACAGCAGCAGCAACAGCGCACGCGCACAGCAACAACTACACGCGCAGAAGTCGTCGCACGCGCAGCAGCATCCGCACGCGCAGCAGCAACCGCATGCGGCACTGCCCCATGCATAACCGCGCACACACAACAGCAACTGCGCATGCGTACAGCTAGCCTAATTCTGAGACTCGACACCATTGCGCGCGCCTCGAATCACCCTCCCGTCGCATTTCCTCTCTCAACTCCCGTCGCCCTCGCGTCCCATCGCGTTCTTCCCTCCCACCCCGACATTGTCCCACAGGCCGATCCCCTCACCAACTCCTCTCCCTTGCCGTTGTTCTCACGATCGCGATTCCCTTCCCCTCTCGTCGTTTTTCCTCCAACCGCTCCCTCCCCGTCGTTTACCATTTCTGTAACGCATCGACCTATTTCTAACTAACTCCCAAGCTAACTAACACTCGAGGCATTCATCGAGATTGTTCTCGATAGAAATTGTGCTACGAGTGAAGTAAAGGTTGGATTGGGAAAGAAGGGTTGGGTTGGAAGGAAAAGGTTGGATTGGAAATTCCAAACCTCAACCAAGAGGATTGGAATATTCCAACCCATCAAAGTGGAAATCCAAAGGTTGGATTTCCAACCAATCAGAAACTGCCACTTGAATGTTACAACCTACTCTATCTTAAAAACAACCATACAAATGGTTCTAGGTTGGGTTTTCCCAACCCAACTATTTGCCACATAGGCTCCAAGCCTAGGGACCATCCCACCATGGAAACCATGGTTGGGAAAGTCCACCAAGGGGTGTATTGAGGGGGTTTGAGCTAACCAAGCTCATTCTCAACCTCCCACTCCAACTAAACAATTGGAAATGGGATTGTTTCTCTAAGTCTTGGTTGGTTCTCTCACAAGCCTTCCTACACAATTCTCTCAAGCTATTTCAACAACTCCTTCAAGAAGATTGACACCTCCAAGACTCTTGGGAGCTAGTTAGAGCTTCATCTTGTATTGGATCTATTATAAAAGTCTTGTAAATCCATTATAATAGCCTTGGGTGTTACAATTTCTCTCTTCCCAACCCGTTGTTTTTCATCTCTCCCTCCTCGCGTCGTTCTTCCTCTCTCCCCCCTCTCGTAGTTCTTCCTCTGTCCGCCCCCCTTCCGTCGTCTACCATTTCTCTCTCCACTACGGTCCCGTAGTTCTTCATCTGTCCGCTCCCCTCCCGCCGGTTTCCTCCCTCCCGACAATCCCCTCTCTTTCATCTTTCTTCATCTCTCTCCCCTCCAATCCCATTCATCTCCGCCGTCCCCCATCCTCTTACCCCATGACACCTAGTTACCCCTGTTCGCGTCACCTTTTCCATAGTCAATTCCCCCTCACGTTCATTTTTCTCCACTCCCCTGTATTTCACCTCTCTCAGGCCCCAAATCCAAGGCAGCACTTTCACTATTCGGCTTGCTCTCTATTCCTGCTCTTGTGGCATGTGTGTGTGTGTACTTCAAAATTTGCTTGTGCTGCTACTCTCCGAGTTTTGTGAAGGTACCACTATTCCAGTGAATGTAGCATTGCACGTCGCGCATCCTTGCGCCAATTCACACATGTATGTGTGATAAGTTTACCACCAATCAAAAGTGAACACCAATCGTTCCCCTTCCCGTTCACTTCGGGACTCATACTGAGTTGAAAAAAAAGACACAAAACACTTCCAACTTCTCCAAAGTTTCCAAGTGACTAGATGATTCTAGTTTGACCCAACTAGAAGGGGGGGGGTCACTATTTTAGCTGCTGGCTTTAATGGGGTGCACTTGTGATGTGAAATTCATAAGCTCGTGCGCTTATAGCCGTAAGTCATTTTGAACATTCCTCGCCTTTCCCCTCGCTGGATCCTACAATTATTGGCCCTGGGAGCCTGGTAACTTGCAATAATCTCTCTGATTCTCGGCGAAGCGACGGCGGAATGGCGATTCTCGACTCGTCGCCATCTGCTCGCGTTATCTTCGGGCTCTTCGCGATTATACGAGGTGGGGCCGGCGCACCGCCGAGTCGGAATCTCGCCTCGCCGCTGCGCCGTCAGGCGAGTCGCTCCCGTCACTCCTAATCATCGCCTGCACCCGCAAACCATGACAAGCCCCATATTAGTCCGGGCTCTCCTTGTGATTATAAAAGTGGGTGCTTCGAGTCCCTGAGATCCAGCCAGCGCCAATTCGCTTCCCCTTCTTCAAGCAACCTTCCCGCTCTTCTTGCAATCCCAGCTTCTGTACTCTCTTCAAAATCATGGCCTTCACTCCGGCTCACCGCGTCTTATTCTTAGGTAAGCGCTACTAACCACTTGATTTCAACGCCAGTTCGCGCCCAACTCGTTTCCTGCTGACCCATGCAGCTCTGGCAGCACCGTTCGAGACTTGTGTTTTTCGTGGATATGATGACACCAACGTGTGCTGCGATGGCGTGCAATCACTTCCGCCGCATGGTAAACCGATCGCGTGTTTCCATCGCATGTGTCTCCGTGCAGCGTTCTTCGCGGTGCTCGTGGCGGTTGCCTACTCTGGCGAAGTCCCGGAGTTAACTGGTCAGTGACTCGGTGCTTGGCTCTTTCCTCTTCCGACCGTCGCTTGTATACCACCTATAGATTGTCTTTGAAGCTCCCTTCTCGCCTCCTGCATTCCCTCCCTCCCCTCTCCCATTCTCCTCTTCCACGTTGACACCAGCCCACCCTTTCTTCTCTTTCCAAATCTCCACTCGCACGCCGTTTGCTCCCCCTCTCTCTCTCGCTCTCACCTCGCCTCAACAGACACGTTCACGGCGAAGCTGATTGGCGCCAACGAGGTTCCCAAAAATGACTCCGAAGCTGCCAGGAACGCCGTTGGTGACAAGAGCGGCGTCGTGCAAATGAAGCTCGAATACTACAAGTAAGCCCGCCACGCCTTGCATTGCATCTGTGACATTGCGTTGCATTTTTCTCTGAGAGCACGTTCTCTTTCCACTAACCATGTCGAAAACGCATGCGCTCCAATCCATGTCGCTCTCTGCCGCTCTCTCCAGCGATATACAGCGGCGGATCTGAAATCTTGCTCATTCTTCCTCATTCTCATTCGAAATCTTATCCGCGGATTCTAAACCCTGTTTCTTATTCCCTTGACACCCCTGTTGCCACTTCCACATGCGATCAGGAAGGAGGGCGAGCTCATGTGGGTGGACTACACGGTGAAGGCGTCGAAGCTGGAGGGCGAGATGCCGCCCAGCAAGACGCACATCCACCCGGGCTTGAAGGGGCAGAACAACCCCATGCTGCTGGACCTGCCCTGCAAGTACAAGCAGACCAACGCCTCCGAGTGGCTGTGCCAGGGCACCATGTGGGAGGACAAGTGGCTCTCCAAAGAGGAGAAGGCGATTTTCACCAAGATCTTAAAGCACCCTAGTGCGCACTACGGGAACATTCACACCAAGAAATACCCTGATGGTGCCGTGCGCGGCCAGTTCTCCAGGAAGTGACAGGTGCAGTTGACCGGACCAACTTGATCCCTGCCCTAGGGAATGTCGGGATCAGGGCTGGAGATGAGAGAATGAGTAGGTACAAGTGAAATGAGCAGTCAATAAAGATTCTGGCTGGGGGTGCACCAGGGGAGGGAGTGATGGTGCTTCACTAGGCAGTGCTTTTGGTGACCCCAATGATCAGAATCAGCAAGCCATTATGCATTGCTTGCTTTGTTCTACGCTACTCTTGCAATGCTAATGGAGATCTGAATTCACTCTGCATACACTCTCTCCCTCACATACGGTACACACATACAGTATGCCGCATGCGCGGACATGCACGTGTGCACGAGCTCATACTTGCACGGGCAGAGTGCCAGCAGCAGTGTGGCTGTTGTCAGTTTATAATTTCTGCTGTGCTTTTGCTTCTGCTTTCAACACTTCTTAGCAACTGCTCATATACGGTAGTATAAAGGAATGAACAGCATCAGCCAGTCTGTTTTGACACCCTGCAAGATATTTGCATGTGAGCTGTTCCGTTGCTGCCTTACCGACCCTCACCCATGGTTTGCTCTCCAACCACATGTGCTCTCCACCCCCACTTCCAGATGCCTCTGCTCTCCACTCCCACTTCCAGATGCCCCTGCTCTCCACTCCCACTTCCAAATGCCTCTGCTCTCCACCATCAGCTTCCCCCCTGCCCTCACTCCTGCTCCCACTCCTCCTCTCCCTCGCCTACATCCTCCCTCACCACCAGCACTTCTCCCTCTGCAACTTCATCCTCACCCATCCCACCATCACCTAAGCTTCGACCCACCCTTCCCCCCATACCCTCCTCTCCCCAATGCTCATGCATCACAGGCAGCCTTCCTCCCTCTTCACACGCCTTCTCCTGCCCCCCCATCCCTCCCCCTTTCACGTTCTTCCGTCCCTCGCTACTTGACCCCCTTCCTCCAACCGCCTTCCTCGCTCCAGCACCACCACCATCCCTCCCTCTGCCTGCCACGCCGAGAGCCTGCTTACCCCCACCCCCAGAAGCAGCAGAAGATTCCATGCCTGGGGGCCCCCAACAGCCGCACCCCCACCTTCACCAGCAGCAGTGGGCAGCAGAGCGAGGCGTTGGTAGGAGCGGGAGGCAGCAGCCAGGGCAGCCACAGCTGCCTGAGCTCCAGGCTCTCTGCAGCTACCTTCCTCCGCCTCTCCCTCGGGGAAACCCTTCTTGCTCACCTCCTCTACCCCTCCCTCACCCCTCGCCTCCCCCCCCGCTCACTCCCCCTCCCTCCCTCCTCCCCTCCACTATCCCCTCCACACCACTGCCCCCCTGCCCATCCATCCCCTCCCCATGCCCATTCATCCGGCAAGGTTCATACGCCAGGCCTGGTTGCCAGTACAAGTGCCTTAAAGCGTCCATAGAAAGCCAGAATGGATGCCAGATTCGCCCTCTCAGTCGCCTCTGCCTGCTGCTGCACCGTATCCCCCAATGCCAGAGCCTCTGGGTCCAGAGCTGATGGGATGGGATGGGATGGGATGGGATGGGATGGGATGGGATGGGATGGGATGGGATGGGATGGGATGGGATGGGATGGGATGGGATGGGATGGGATGGGATGAGATGGGATGGGATGGGATGGATGAGTAGGGTATGGGATGGGATGGGATGGTATGGGATGGGATGGTATGGGATGGGATGGGATGGGATGGGATGGGATGGGATGGGATGGGATGGGATGGGATGGGATGGGATGGGATGGGATGGGATGGGATGGGATGGGATGAGATGGGATGGGATGGGATGGGATGGGATGGGATGGATGAGTAGGGTACGGGATGGGATGTGTTAGAATCTAGAAGCAGGAATGAATGCATTGAATGAGAGTTGGGTACAAGTATCTAACCCTAAAGGGGTTGTACCCCATATTGGCTACCCCACTACAGCCTACACAAATATAGCATGCATATAGTTTGACACACCCCCATAGGCAAAGTGGGGGAGAACAAGGGGTCACAAGACCAGTCAAGAAAAGCAACGCAAGCTCAGGGTGGATCACAACGTCACCACACACACTGAGCACAAGCAAAGGGCCACAAGGCCAGTTCACATGCAGAGACATATATGCAACAACAACAGTACAGTGATCACTACCTAGCAAGAGCAAACATGCAGGCATATATATATATAGATCACAGTACAAGCAGAGTCTACAACAAGTGTGGAAACGTAGGCACAAGGCCCAACAAAGTACAAAAGCGCTGATGGTCACCAGACGGAAGTGCCTTGGTGAATACCGTAATCACCCGGATATAAGACCCCCCCCCAGTTGTAGACCCCCGGGTCTATAATACGGACGTGGGTCTTATATTTGGGTATGTTTTTGTTATACCCCCCTGTTTACATCGAACGTGTGATTTTATAATGTAATAGAGTCGTTTTGTGAAGGAGAACATAATGTTTCCCCTTCGGATGAAGTCACGTGGGCATGGCACCGTCAATTTTGTGCATTCTTTTGTTTTTTCCGACATTACGAGGCTCATGAATCAAAGCTTGACCAGTTGCGAGGGTGATGTCACCTGGCAAATGCCTGACTGTGCGATTCTCATGGTCTTGCTTTGAGATTCGTTTGACTTGATTGGCTATGTGGTTGTCCAATCAGAGAGCAATATCTGGATTTCACATTCACAAACAGTTATCACAAAAACATCCTCGACGTACTGCTTTTGCGGAATCTAAAAACGAATCAAACACCCACATGAGCTTTGCATTCAAATATAAGTGAAAAAAACATGTTCATTTGTTAAGACCCGGGCCTTATATTACTATGACAATATGAGAAGACCCCCCACCATTTTTTCCCGTAGTTTTCATAAGACCCTAGGGTCTTATATCCGGGTGATTACGGTATATCAGCAGTGTTGGCCTGAGTGGCCACGTGAGCAAGACGAAGCTGACCACGCTACTGCAACTCTCGAGCCAGGAAGTAACGCATAGCGATGTGCTTCGTTCTGTGCTCCAGTCTGTGCTCCTGACACAAGGCAATGGCGGCCTTGTTGTCGACGTACAGAACTGGAGGAGAACGAGGCCTCTCTCCCAAGTCAGTCAGCAGGTAGGTAAGCCAGCGTAACTCCTGTGCAGCCATGGCTGTGGCGTAGATCTCAGCCTCACAACTGGAGCCGAGAACAGAAGAGGAGCGAGTAGACCGCCAAGAAACAGAGCCAGAGCCAAGGCTGAACGTGTAACCCTGTGACGACCGCTGCGTAGCCTGGTCGTCAACCCAAGAAGCGTCTGAGTGCCCAGTGAGGACAACGAGACTCCACCCTCCAAGCACGAGCCCCATGCCCGATGTACTGCACAAGTAGCACAGTACCCTCTTTGCAGCATCCATGTGCACCTTTCGGTGCCGACCAGGAGCCACGTAGCGTGCCAGAAGGCCAAGAGGGTACGCGAGGTCAGGACGAGTGCAGGTCATCAGGTACATGAGGCAGCCCACTAGCTCTGGGTAAGGACCACTCGGCTCTACGGACTCGTCCGAAGGTGGAGCTGAGAGCGAGTGACCTGTAGCCAGAGGAGTGGACTGTGGCGAGGACCAGGTGAAGCCGAAGTGCTGAAGGACCTGCTGCACCATGTGTGACTGAGTCAGTGTGATGGTGCGGCGTGCTCGGTCCCGGGTGATCTGCAAGCCAAGGTAACTGCGCAGCTCACCCAGGTCTGTGCACGTGTGTCTCTTCTGCAACTCCGACTTCACCAGGGCGAGAGCCTCAGTGTCAGCAGTGACAAAGACCAAGTCGTCGACGTACACGAGGATGTAGAACGGCGGCAGCGAAGTGTCGGTGCGCAGAAACAGCGACGGGTCAGCTGTCGAAGGAGCAAACCCAAGTGCCGCAAGCGTCGTCCTCAGTGTGTCGTGCCACTCACGCGGCGCCTGGCGGAGACCGTAGACTGGCCGCCGGAGGCTCCACTGGGTACCAGGAGGGAACGTCCCAGTGAAGCCAGGTGGGCGGCGCAGCCATATCTCCTCGTGCAGGCTACCCTGTAAGAAGGCTGTGCTAAAGTCCAGAGAGTGAAGCTCGTAGTCACGTTGAGCGGCAACGTGCAGCAGCACCCGAAGAGTAGTCATCTTCGGGGTGGGGGAGAAGGTCTGGAAGAAGTCAACTCCCTCTCACTGACTGAAGCCTCGTGCAACGTAACGAGCCTTGAAGACAGGCGGAGAACCCGGCGGCCGCTTCACCCTGAAAATCCACATGCCATCGACGATGTTCGCCCCAGGAGGGGGAACCTCGTCGACGTAAGTGCCTGTGGACTTCCAGGATGCCATCTCTGCGTCCATGGCTGTCTCCCACTGAGAGGAGTAGGGACCCGTGATCGCCTCAGCGTAAGAGCGCGGGGTAGGGATGTCTGGTGCATCCGGGTCTCCCTCAGGGGCAAGCAGCATGGCCACGAGATGAGGCGCAGCGGCCGCAAGACACTCAAGGTCCTCCTGTCTGTCCTCAAGGACGTCCGTGCCAAGAGCACACTCACCCCCGACGGACGGAGGACAGAAAGACTCAGACTCAGCAACAAGACTAGCAGCGTAGTCTAGACGACAGGCAGCAGCAAAGTCCACAAGCTCAGCGACCAAGGCAGACGCAGCAGCAGACTCAAACGACGGGTCGGTGACAACAGTGGCTAACAGATGCGTGACAGTAGGGTGCTCAGCACGAAACCGGTCAGACTCAGGGTCCGGAACGTCAGGCAGAGAGGACTCAGGAGGAGACGGCAGAGGAACACGCTGCGGAGCAGAGGACGGACGACGGACAACGAGGTGCGCGCCGGGGACAGCCGGCGAACGCGGACGAGCAACACGACGACTGGTACGACCAGAACGAACAGGCGAGACAGGACGCGACACAGGACGCGACGCAGGCTCACGACGCTCAGCAAGACCCCCTGGCTGCTCGGTGTAAGGAGAAGGAGCAGGCAGCGGGGAGTCAGGCTGTAACGGAAGACCAGTAGAAGACGGGAGGCTAAGAACCTGGCGAAGCAC